GGCAAGATAAGAAAAGCAAAATCAGAGGCAGAGGCAGGATTGTTGAAATGGCTAAAGTCAACAGCTCAGTGATGCAGGAGGAAAATCACTTAGCTGGAAAGGTGTGGAGCCCTGAATAAAAAATTGAGAGTGGCAACTCAGCAAATCTCAGGGTGTGCCTCTGCCAGGGAACAAGGGAAGCCCACAGTCCCCCTGCCCTTCCCTGCCTGCTTCCTTTGTCTGAGAACTTGTTAGTCCCAGCCTATTGTATTTGTGCATAAGGCAACAAATAATTGCTTTGTACCTTGAAGGTGTATATATGCTGCTTATAGCTTGTCTGCATCTGGTAAAAGTTGTCCAAGCCAAGTGACACAGAAAGAGGATACCAACAGTGTACCAAAAGCACCAGCATGGAGAGGCTGCCTGATAATATTTCTCTGAATGACAGATAGCTCATATTCAGCATGAAAGCAAAGAAGAAAACTATCAATGCTTTGTGACATATAGATAATTTGCCTCTCGATGGAAAAAAGCAAAAGCTGTTCACTTACATTAAATGTTGAAGGGAAAAAAAGGGAAAGCAAAAACACCACTTTGTCACCATTCACGTCTATTTACATCTGAATATCAAGCTTTATGGCTTACCACTTAACCAAGGCCATTGTGCCAGCAAGTTACCCTCTCCTCATAGTTGTCAGCACAAGATATGGAAGCACAGTATAGGAATGCTACTGATGGTCAGCAGCCACAAGGTTAAACTGATAGGAGCCATTCTGAGATGTAACTGGTGGTTACAAGCTTTCTTTATTTATAAGGCTCCTTAACTTACTGGTGTAGCTGTGAAAAGTTTGCCACATCTATCCACAAGCCAAAGGGAAATAGGGATTGATGTTTCATGTCAGACAGAAGCTGAATCATTGCCTAAACCAACATCAATCACTGCTCTATAATCTCTCTGTAAATTAGTTTTACCTTTTCATTGCATGAGGAAATGCCAATAGGCTTAGAGACAGGAATCTAAAATAAAGGCACTGGCACAACCATATCATTTGTTTAACACAGGAGGAAATAAAATTCAAGAACTATTAGCAGCCGTAACTGAATCATTTTTCCCTCACTTTTGTCCATAATTTGGATTTAAGAAATTTTTAAATGAGTGTGTTACCTGATGTATTCACTTCTAACACCAACAATCTTCAGAAATAATGTGGGAAACTTATGTCCCAGGAAAGACCTGGATGCATCCTACTATGGTTGAAATCGTGTTATAGTTAATATTATTCATTTGAAATAGCTTGTTTTAGAACTTAACTTTCAGAAAATACATTAAATATATATATATGTATTGACTTGGAATATTTTATCCTCAAAACTAGTGAACTGTTTTTGCTGCTTGAAAAACTTCCACTATTCTATTTGTTACCCTGCCTTGACCATTGCTGCTGTGGACCCTCCCAAATCTCTCTTGCTTTCATTCTTCTCTCAGTTTGTCTTTCTACTCTGCTCCTCCTCTCTTGTTTTGTGTTCTCTGAATCCAGTCTTTGAGCTGCTGACTCGTTGGCCAGCTCTGCTGGTCCCCCCAGCCACCACCATCATAACAATGTCATCAACAGCTGCTGCAGGGGCTGTCATATCCCACCACTTCCCCAAGACAACCTATCAGCTTGCTTCCCTTCCCTCAACCTTCACTCCTCCTTCCACATCCATTCTGTTCTAGCAGGAAGATCAGTGCAAGCTCTGAAAAGACAAGCACTGTGCTGGGGCCAGCACAACTTTGTTGTGGAATGTCTGACTCTTCTTGTACCCATGAGCTGAATCATAGCTCTCTCCTATGCAGCTTTATAAAAGATAAGAAACTTTAATTCTGTCAACATGCACAAACCAGACAAGAAATACTGACATTTTAGCAAATAAGATGGAAGTCTGCATGAATCATATGGAAATGACAGTTTATCAAGGCTTTCTAGCTTTCATGAGAACATCAAGAATTTTTGCCCTGTTACAAGACCCTGTTACAGTAATGCTGTGTTTGAATCATTTTCCCAAGCCTTTGGAGATGAGAGTTAAAAACCAAGATCTTATTCTTAAACTTGATCCTTAGAGATGGCTGCGCCTTTTGATCAGTGCTTCTTGCTAAAATGCAGCCTTGAGGTTAGCATTCAGGCTAGAAAACTTGAGACCAAACATTTATAAATTGGCAAAGTTACAAATGACTGAAATCCAGCTCTGATGACAGGAAGCGTCAAGCAACGTGAATAACCGGTGTTACGAGATACACTTGTAATCACCTTCCTAATGTTTCTGGTATCAGTACATTACCTTTACAGCTCTGAGGCCATTTTTCAAGCAAAGTTATAAAAAGAATCTGTTTTCCCAGGTTATATTTATGCATTATAATCATGGCTGTTTAGAGCATTATACGTTCACTTGGTGAAAGGACATTAAATGAGCTTCACAAATATTTAATCAAGCTGCAGAATGACTTAAGCTTACTTCTCTCTTTCTGCAGAGAGCTAATAGCCATGCCTGGTGGTTGCTGTAGTTACCACTTACTGGAAAAGCATCTAGGCTGTTCTTCCTTTTGGGTCTGAGATTTCCTTCATGAAGCTTTGTGTCAACTAAAACACTAAATATAGCTTTTTAGAGAGTAAATCTACTACATTCAGGCCATTTCACTGAAAGGTATTTTGCAAAGCTGTTTTGATTTGGTTTGGTGTTTTTTCTTAATGTTACCGTAGAGTGCTGAAGTAACTCCATAGAGTTAACATCTATTATTGTATATAAAACTGAAATGAAAGCTTGCAGACTTTGTGTAATGGGAGATGTGTTTTTCCCTTGTATTTTGTTTTGTGAATTCTGTTAAAGCTGGTCAAAAACAAATTGGAAGAAATTTAAGTACTGTGTGTTGTTCCTGAAATAGCTTTCCTGGGTCTTTCCCAGAAATGCTGTGGGTTTTGGTTTTTGTCTGTGTTGTTGTTTTTTTTTTAATTTTTTGGTTTGTATTGTTTTATTTCCAGCAATGACCACAGAAGGAGGGACGATTAGTTGTTTTTTAGGTTATAAGGTATCAAGTTTCTCCCCTTGTTCAGCCTTAATTAGATTGTTGAATATGGCTCTCTGGCTGTTTGCATTAGTGTGACTGAAAATGATCTCTCTTCTCCAACAGCTGGTGGTATTTCAGCAGGGAGGCAGTGTTCCACTGAGCAGCACCAGCCCTGTAACGCTGAAGATGTGCCAGGTTTGGGCAATAAAAGGGACCTTGTTCTGCTTCAGCTCCAGCCTTGTCCAGCATCATGCAGTGACACTTGGAGATCTTCCAAGAACTTGTGTCACAGGCTCTGCTGGAGCAGAGGACAAAGTAACCTAACTACTACCCAGCTTTGTGCTGTAACAAAGCTGTTCCCATGTGTGCCAGTTTAGAAAGTTACAACTTAATATAGAAGGCATTTAAAACCATCTCTATCCAAAGACATATACGAAATGCAAGCTGCTGTTTTTTTCCACTATGAAATTTAAATGAAGAATACAAACGGCAGATGAAGTTTGGTTTAAGAGAGTACCAAGGAAGGAGGAAAAGGTAAGCAGCACCTAATAGATATGAAATGCTTGTTGAGCTGTTTTAAACAGCCACTTTAGTTCATTAAGCCTAGCCATATCTATTCTCATAGATCATTCCAGAAGCTACAGACAGCAACTCCTAAATGAGTCACATGGGGCTGGAGACTCCATTCACTGAACTGTAGCCATGAGACTCCAACTGCAGGGCCATGGTACTAACTGCTGCACAAGTTTATCTGAAAATAATGAGATGGGTATGTAAAGAATATTCATTGGGTAATAGAGAAAATATGATAAAGATAGGTATGCAATTCCTTCCACACCAAAAATAGTATAGAGCTCCTGAGCCTGGCAAAAACAACAGATGATAGAATAATCTTTAAAAATTCACAGAAAACAGTGAATAATGAACAATTGTTCACTGTTTCTTCCAGTTCAAGACCTGCAGATCATCAAATAATGTTAATAGCAAGCTCAAATGAAAGTGAGGCACTTTTTCCATGAAATATTTTGCTACAGGAAACTGTGAATACGGAATGTTTACATCAATTCCAAAAGCCCTGCAACAAATTCATAGAGGAGAAACCTGTTAGGCACTATTAAACACAAGGAAACTGGCTGCAGGTCAGGAAGCCCTGGAGCAGTCTCAGCTGTGTAATCTGTGCCATGTCACGTGAGCTGCTCTCACATTCCTTCTTAGCCAGCCCCTATTGCAATATGTTACATCGACACAATACTGTGATGGAAGAGCCTTGAGTTGACCAAGTGTGGCCATTTCTGTTTCTGGCACAGCAGCTTTGCCTGCACAACCATAACTGCTCATGGGCCATTGGCTACTTCTGCTGGTAACACAGCAAGAGCACACCATCACCCTGCTGTTGGGCTCCCTGTATGGTAGAAACTAGTTTGCACATGCTTTGAGCCCACTACAACTATAGAGATGGAGAGACGAGTTGAATCTAACTACTATCTATGTTTATTTACAGTAATTTGCTCAAACGTGGACTTTCACCATGAAAACGTAACAGCATAAATATGCATATAGTAAATCCCAGTCAAAAAGTAAATTAGCAAGTTGCCAGCTACCTTATCTCTCCTCTTCATTTACATCGTGACTTATCGCAGTTGACATTTCAGTAAGGCTGTAGTAGCTGCTCTGAATTTGAACATTCATAAGAAGAAGATGCAATACACCAGCTTTGATGTCAATAGAATGTCAGTCTCTGCCTACTTTGTTCAGTCTGAACTTAATTGCAGGAACTGCATTAATAGTCAACATAAGCCATCTGTTTAAACATGTGTGTTTTGGAAAGAAGTGCCGTGTACAATAAACACACTCACTGTAATGACTCATATATCTGTTTATGTGAAACGAGGATTTGGCAATTTCCCTCACAAAAACATTAAATTACAGGCTAAAAGCAGTTTTATATCAATTTCATTTGTTTACGTGGCAGGTCTGATGGTTTGACAGTTTTGATGCAGTCTGGGAAGTTAACCATGAGGCTGCTGAACCTCACTGTTTTACCAGCCTTCACTCAAGAACCTGTTTGGTAAGTCAAAGCTGCCCCAAGAAATGTCAGCAGTTCATGGAGTTCAGTGGCTGAGAAACACATAGAGGTACATTCACAAAATGTTCTTCAATGCGTTTGGCCAGGGTGCACATGGAGGAAGGGCACTGCTGTCCTGACCTGATAGAGTAGTTAACTCCAAAACATCCCAAGTAAGCATGGTGTGACTGGCAGCCTCGCTAGACAGTGCCTGTAACCACTGCAGACCCATGAATGACCTACTTTCATAAGCATTACACTGAAGTTCAGTCATTGATTTTGCATGAGGTGAAGCTGTTCCCCTCTCCTTTGCAGACTGAAGCTTCCTCAAACAGGGAAAAATCAGAAATATGCCACCTCTCATTTTATCTATCAGACTACCACAGGAAAGCAGGTTTTAATTTCCCTCTTCTTCCTTGTAAATGCATATTAGATGTTACTTTTAAGAGTGAAACAACATGCCATTAGATATCTTTTCTGGTGTCATTTCTAAGTAAGCTTTGTGAAATTAATCATGATAATGCACTGGTGCCTCAGTCTCTTCAGCAACAGCATAAATCATGAATTGTCTAGTTTCATACACACTGATGGAGAGCCTGACTGCCTGCTTCCCACTCACATGTCCAGAGTAGACTTCTGTTATGTTTATCAGTCACAGACATACAAAACATGTATGGGTGACAGCATAGAGCAGAAACTGCTGGAGAAGAAACATATAGTAAAGGCAAATGGTAACTTAGCAACTATCACCTTTTCTCCCCTGAGAAGTTAGTCTGACATTAGTATAGCCCTGCTTTTTTCTTTTTTTTCTGGAATGATTTTAATTTCATGAGAGATATAAGAAGCCCTCATTTTGTTTCCTTAATCTTGCTGTTGCCCAGCCTGCTTGGTCCAATGGGCTGTAGTGTTGCATTAAATGAGGTCAGTGATATTTTAAGATGTACTCTAATATCAGCAGTTTCCTCTTTTTTTTCTCCTATTTTATATACCTGAGGGAATTCTACACAGTAGATACTGTTAGTGCTTGTATTTCTGTGAGTTTGAAGTGAACATAGTCTCAAGAAACCTGCAGGACTTAGTTTTAAGTAAGATTTTCTTACATCTCCTGTTTCGTGGTTTACAGAATGTTTGGTTGCATAGGCCTGTATTCATTTAACTGTATTTATGTAGCTAGCAGAAATATCCCACCACTACTCTATGTTTGAAACCATTGTCCCTTGTGACTGCTCCTAACAGTATTTGATTCAAATTCTGTACCCCACCATTATCCTTTCAACAGACAGTCCTCTCATCACACATACTGAATATTTACACCCATGTTTCTCCTAGCATGGAGAAACATGTATCCAACCTGCCCCATATCAGCACTTCAGACACACTAAGCTCTTAGAGCATCTTGGTGACACGTTTATTTTCAAATAAACAAATTCAGCTCATCACTAGAAACATCTGCATTCACAGCTTTAAGTATTTTGTATCTGCAAAACACAGTCAGTCCAAATAGCTTGAGATTTTTGTTGGATTTTCTATAGAAACATTAACAATCACAAATATACCAAAGAAATGGTGATTTTTTTCAGCAATCATGAAACCTATTCTCAAATTCCTTTATCAGAATGGAAAGCATGGCTGCATATTTTTCATTGTTCAGATGACTGTATTTAGCCAATATAACAGAATGCATAAAATTATTTGCCACAGCTTGATTTAGCACTGCACAGAGCCCTCTGCTCATGCTGGTTTCAGCCCTGACTGTTGTCCTGGTGCTGAGCAATGGGTGCATACCAAGAGTCAGGCCAAGCCACTTGGCAGGGAACAGCCACCAAAATGGCACAGGGCTGGGAACAACACAGGTTGCACTGGGCAGGACTGCATGTGGCCCATGGCCCGGAAGTCCTGGACATGCCTGGACTAGGTCATCTCCTAAGGCCCCCACCAGCATCAACTGTTCTGTGATTGTGAAGTTGACAGAAAGTCCAGTGTTCTAACAAGGACTGATTTTCATTAGAAATGAGAGTTTAAACTGCTGCTTAAGTTCTTATCAAAAAAAAGTGAACTATGAGTAGTATCCAGTCTTGAAACTGTGTTTATTTACAACAAAGAACAATGAGTGGAAATACAAATAAGTGAAGCAGATTAGCTCCATATTGATAATCCTAGCTCCACATTTTGTTTTTAAACTTTATCGGTTTCTCCTCTAGTAACTTCCCTCAGATTGTGCTGGATTTTGACCTTTAAAAGGTCTCGCAAATCAAGTATCTCTTTTTTTTCCATTTACATTCGTGCAGTTCCCAAGTTTTCTGCCCCATCTGGCAGTTCTGTATTAATGTCCCATCTTCTGGACTCATGTAGTAACGTGCTAGCACGACAGATCATTCACTACCATCTGGGTCATGCTATTGCCCAGTAGCTTCCATCCAGTCCCATTCCTGAGGCAACCTTAGCTCATTCATTCCTACAGGTATTTTTAAAGCAGATGGTTAAATGAAACCATATGTATTTTCAGAACAATACAGAAATGTGCTTCACATAAACCATTTGGCATGCATTTACTAAATGTGCCCATTCCTCTCCACTAAAAATGTTTAGGATAAATTTTAGAAGTCTCATTATTGCATTGATTTGTACTCAAGTTTTACACAGATTTGGATCATTTCTAGGGCTTCCAGTGGGAATAGCTCTGTTTTACCAATATTTTCATATTAATGGTTTTGCTTTAGAGTTCTCTTACAGAGCTGGAGAATAGTTTAGGGAATATTCTGAATGAAAATCAGAAGTTTTGTCTTCATGAGAAAGATGTAAAATGATTTCTCAGCTGCATCGCATCTTCTGTCAGGGCATAGGAATAATCACCCTCTCTGAGGAAATGTTTCTGAAGCCAGTTGTAGCTACTTAGATATTCTTTACAGCACCCCACAAGACAACACCTCCACATGCCATCACTAACGGGCTACACGTGGCATAATTCTTTTCCTTGGCTGTGACAAATACTTTGTTGTCTTTGTTGCCAACGTGGTCAGCTATTGCTTCACAGCTCTTTTCGTGGAAGAAGAAAACTGGTTTCATCTGGGAAAGAGAAGGCAATAGAGGTGTTTACCTAGGAATCAGAGAATCTCAGAATGGTTCAGGTTGGAGGGAACTTAAAGCCCATCCAGTCCCAACCCTCAGCCACGGGCAGAGTTCCCACCCACCAGATCAGGCTGCCCAGGGCCCCATCCAGCCTGGCCATGATTGCCTCCAGGAACTTGGTTATTTGGAAGCACAATTTACACCCTGGTATGTATATATCTTTTTCCCAGTGATTCCACTGCATGTAATTTCTCATAACTTAATATAGCTAATAATGCAGTTAATAACACAGTTTTGTAATATAATATAGTTAATTTTGCAGCTTCCTAACAGTGGTTTTAACTTTAGCCAGACTAGCCCATACTACTGAAGAAGTTTAATTTCAAGAAGTCAGTTACACCCTTCATATGAGTTCAGGAAAGCACACTGTTTAGCAGATAACCTTTACACACAAAACAAAAGCAGATACTGGACAAACTTGCAGTATATCTCAAAGCCCTGTAAATGCACCTTGCAACTATGGGTTATATTTAGCTCTAACCTTGTTCTGAGAACAAGGTCAATCAGGTCTCATGTTTGGGAAATTCAGGACACAGTTCTTGCAGGTGGCACCATCTGAGCCCCTCTGAAATGGACACTCTCTGTTAGAGGTCACATTCACTTCCACCAGCCCTATGCCCTGAAAACAGACCAGGGGCATGAGTCCCAGGTGTAACTCACTTATGGCATGTAATGAGGCAGTCTTGCACTGCTCAACCACTCATGCAAAAGAAACTCTCCTTATGCTCAGCAATGAGCAAGAGATCATTATACACTGAGCTGGTATTACCAACTGTGGGTTTGTGGCTACAGCCTATTGAGCAGACAGAATATGTCACCATTCTCGTTGCTGATTTGTGTTGCCTGTACACTCCTACACTGATTTGAGACTGCAGAGATGAATTACTGGCTTGGAGAGGCTTCAACACATGATATATATATCATGTATATATGTATATATATATATCCTGTATATATACTTGTGTGACCTCCTGGACGTCACAGCAACAGTTTAAACACACAGCCTGTGACTTGTTTCCCTGTACATGGCTCCCCAACTAAGCAATCTAATGAAGACTCAGAACTTTGGCTGGTTATCTTTAAAAAACAAAAAGGCACTCGATTTCTTTTGTAATCAACCCTGTCACTCCTGAGTTTGCTCTGAAAAGTCTGAGAAATGCAAGTAGAAAAGTCATTAAGCTTTAACAGGAAGGAAGTGAACTGGAAAATCTTGTTCAGTGTTTTCCTGTCTAGTACATGCGATGCTTGACAAGGTCAGGTTCTCACTGTACCACTCAGGACAGATAATTTTGCAACATTACAACATTTATGACCAGAAATAGAAAAGGAATAACAGAGGGAATTAAAAAAAAAAAAAAAAGAAAATCCGAAGACATAGCTGTCAGGTCACCTGTGGTGGTATCAAGGCAAAAAGAAGTTGTCATTTCTTATCATCGCTGTTTGTTGGATCCTCTTCTCATCTTTGGTACTATGCTCGACTGTCAATTGTTAAACACCAGTGGTTTAGCACTGGCCATTTCTATTCCTCACAGCAGGAGCAAAGAACTGCTGGAAGCTCTTTTCCTTGTAAATCCCTTAAATACAAAGAAACTGGCGGCATAAAGTATGACTCCCTTAAGTGATCCAAGCACAAAGTAGCCCTTCTTCCTCACTCCACAGCTTGTGTGATGCTGTGCACAGTCCAGGCTGAGAGCTAGTTTCAGGCATCTGAAGTCTACCAATTCCTGCCACCTGCGTTTTCTATCAGTCACTTTTCTGCACAGAAGGTTAGTTCACAGACACTCTGGAACGTTCAACTTCCTTTTACCTTCACTATGAGGAAAGATAATCCAGAAGGATTTTAAAGAATGAAAGAAAGATTGGTTTTCTTCTAACAGGCTATTAGTAATGTTAATATTTCTAGAGTGCATTTTAGTGGCAGTCCTCAGCATTAAGTCTGTATTGAATACCATCTTATTTAACAGTGCATGTGAATTTTATGTGGCTCTGTGCGTGTGTGTTTGGAATACACGGTAATGGAAGATAGATAGCATTTAATTATGCCATTTGTTTCATGAGCGTAAGGCTACTGTTTGTTTTAACCAAACATCCTGCTACAAAAAGCCATCAATAGATGTGACTCATTACCTTTCCTACCTTGACCAAATATCATGCCCAACAATCCAGCCCCCTGTGCAAGCTGAAGACCTCTAATCTAGATGCAGGACAAGCAGGAGGCTGAAGCAGGCGGTACTTGCTGGAGAGCACAAGGATGGCCCAGTGAACACGTGGCCTGTGGCACTCCTAGGAATTTCTCCAGGACGGCTTTCCTGCCCTGGGGCAAATACCCTGGTGTCCCAAATGCAGGTTTTCCATAAATTTATACATTTGTCTAGCTTTTTTTCCCTCTCCTTTCTGAGTTACGTTATATTAAATCCGAAGAAATTTTCTGACAACACTTCCAGTTTTTCCCTGCATCTTCTACAGTGGCCATCCTCTTTCAAGAGCTCCTTCCCAAGACAGGCTCCGAGACAGCATGGGTGCCATTTCAGCACTGCCTTTTTAGAGCTGGTCTGAAAAAATAGGAGCAGCTTGGAACAAGTGGTGCCATAGCTGGAATGTGATACTGCAGTAACTGTGTCTCCTAATCCCTGATCTGCACATCTGTGCACTCAGGCTTTTGAGGTCATAGATATTTCCTTCCCATGGTGCTATTCCTGATATTTACATGAAAAGTAGCACAGTTACAGGAACTGCATTTTACACTGCAGAGTGCAATCTGCATTGGTTTGTTTCTGATTTAATAATAGGAAAATGGCATCAAAATAAGGAAGTACTTGCTTTGCAGTAACATTTGTCCACAACCATCTGAAGAGGCATGCCTAAAATAACTCCGTTTCAAAAGGCCAGCACAATTAGTACATCCAGTGCAGCAGAAACAGATAATATTTGCATAGCAAAACAAGAACATGGGATCTTGGCAGAAAGAACTTATTTTCTCAAATATTTGTCACTGTTTTTAAAACATGCTGTTACCAGGTGATTCTTTGGCCAGTGAGCACCACTGAACACCTCTGATCATACTACTCCAAACTGGAGTTTTGTTTGAGATAGCCACGTAGGGTACCACCTTTTCCTATATAGCATTTTAAAAGTTAGAAAACTTCCGATCAGGACTTCTCTTAACTCTGAGGAGCTGTTTTCTAGTGCTAGCAGGTGGATTTTCTTCTTGCTGTTGACTCACACTAGCACTGAAGCATCACGATTTTTTTCAGGTTGAAGTATCCGGTTGCATTCTTGTTTGCTCATGCAGGTGTTTCACGTAACAGCCCCAAGACAACTGACGCTATTGGAAAGCAGCTGCAGCATAGGCAGCATTGTAGGAATTCACCACTTCAGTCTAGTTCAGCTCTGAGATCACAAGAAAATAAGCCCACGTCATCCCTTAGCAGGCAAACCTATCATCATCAAACTTCTGTAAGGAGACTTTCTCAGAAATAAGTCATTTTTAAAGAACATTAGAAACAGCTCAATTCTCTTTCAGCTGACCAGAGGTTTTTCCTCTCCAAATACCTGCCTACATGAACCCAGCTGGAAACCTATTTCCTTATTACAGGAATGGAGGACTTTCTCCAAGTGCTTCATTCCATCCCTGCGTGATGAAAGATAAAAGTTTACAACCACCTACCACCTGTTTCTGATGCTACATTATGCCCTCTGGCATCGTGAAGAGAACATTCGGGAAAGATCCCATAATTGTGTATGAACGGCTGATGGGGAGCAATAAAAAGGACACTGCTCTCAGCAGGATTTATGCAGTGTAGTCTCCAGTGCTCCTTCCCACCTCAGCTGTTCCATCTTTTTGTCCCCGTGGTACAGCAGTGGCACAGCATGTGGACATGCACTGTAGCGTGAGTGCAGGTGAACCTCTGACACCATAGATGTTCTCTTCTGTATTACATCGGCCTCGTTCTCTGTGTGGGTATACCTGTGAAGGAACTTCAAGTTCCAAGGACTAAAACTGTGATATGTCATCTGCCTGAGGAAGAAGCACTTGATTTCCTCTGGGGAATTCAATACAATAACAGAGAAGCAGGAAGAAACAGCTCATTGAAAGTCAGTCTGGCATACAGTGAGCATTTAAAAAGGCTTTGTTTCTTTTGCAGCAGTACTGATTCTTCCTTGGAATTATGTTCTTAATTTCATTTCTCCCCCTTGGCTTTCTGTGTGCTCCAGTAGCCAGTTTGCCCAGACTCAAGAATTCAGGTGTCAGTGTATCACCTCCTGCTGTGCAAGTATGTATCAGGACATTTAATTCTCTCCTTTAGCAATCAGGGATTATTGTTACATTTGATTTTAATCATCTTCTGGGAATTATACCTTCCCCTGTGCAAGTTATGCTTTGTACGGAGATTGTTTTAAGAAGTTTCTCACATGAGATGGACCAAGGACTAGCACTGAGCACTCACCATCACACTTAACATCTTTTGGGCTTTTTCTGCTATTCCAAGGAAGAAAATCCTTCCTGGGGTAGTTAAGCCTGAAAGAGAATAAAATACTTAGGTGGACAGACAGTACCACAACCTCCCATGAATAGGCCCATGGATTGCACATAGTTGTACTCTTGCCAGAATGGAGCAGGGGGAGGATCTGCTAGAAATCTATTTGAAAGAGCTTTTAAGCTGTAGATTTGGCATAAGCAAAGCCCTGTTTTTACAGCCTCTTAATGAACTCTGAAAAAAACCTTTTCCTATGGCCCCCTGCCTATCTACCTGTAATTTAATCAAGGGGGGGGTGCAGCAACAGTCCTGGACTTTCAAGACAATTTCTGCCTCCTCGCACTTGCACAGCCCACTTCAGCAGAGAAAAAAATGAGAAAAAAAGGGAAGGAGGAGGTGCCTCCAGAATGCAGCTTTAAAGTTCTTATGATGTTAAAGCCAGCACCTCAGCCACTCAATGTTTGCTGGTACAGCACAGAAAAAGGAGATCCTTATTTCATCCTGATACCTTGAAGAAGGTACACGACAAGTTAGTAGCTGCAGCAGGAATTCAGTGCAGAGATCCCAAGCCATCTTTTGCCCATCCAGCATGGATCTCTCTGCCTTAGTTTATGAAGGGATGCAGTAGCTCAGTTGCTGAAAGCTAGAGCTCCAGGGTACGTTCCTGATCAAAACACAATTACCTGGCAACTTCACCCAGGCAGCTGTGAAATCAACCACGGAAAGGAAGGGTAAATGAAGATGCTAAGTGCGCTAACAGCAGTCACCCTCTCCATAGTGACGCAAAGCAGGAGTCACCTGACTGCGTAATGTGACAGCACAGGTCAGTGAGAGAGAGCTGAGCCTGCACACAGCAGCACGTAGCTGCTGCTCAGCAGAAGCTGACTGCGTTATTTTCAAAACAAGGAAAACTGTTAATGCCTGTTTTGGAAATCCAAATCCTCCCCCCATGTTCTGGAAGGGGGAGTTACCAAATGAACCATCTCTCTCGCTCCCCAAACATAAGGCACATTAAAATGTTCCTGCCTGTAAATATGGGTGCTGTTAAAACGGTCTATTTAACTGATCTATTACCTGGGTGCTGCCAGAGTTTAGTGCCTGCTGCATGCACATGCTGAGTGTGTGCTTTAGGGATCAGAGGAAATGAAAAACAACCCTTTTTCCTCCTCAGAACCATAAACAAAACAGCTTTAACTTGGAATCTGCTTAACACTTGATCCTAATGGCAAACCAGCCCTTCTCCTTTCTTCTTCACCTTCACAGGCAGCTCTGCTCCACAGCCACCATGGAATTTAGCAACAAATGCCTTGCAGAGCTCAAAGTGTAAAGGCACACTGGCATGAAAACAATACCAAATGACACAGTGTTTTCAAGTATTCTATAAGAAAAAGAAACCAAAACTTTATTTAGTAGAAAACTTTCAGAATACAAAATCAGTCTGTTTGAAGTATTACAAGGACAACATACTCATTAAAGACAACTCCTGTTCTCCTAAGGTGTAGTCCCGTTTCATGCTGCACCCTTTATTTGTTGCTTTCATCCTCACAGAGTGGCTGAGGAGTTCTTCCTCTGCAATGCCATCAAAAAAGAAGTCCTCATTGAAGATGGGATTCCTGCTTCTCTTTATAACAGTGCTTCTCTGCTTCTGTGTTTTCCCTGGCACCAGGGAGAGGGTGATGCAGCAGTTTATGTTTTTGGGCTCTACAGAGTCATCATATAAACCCTCTGCACTGATCAGACGGATCCTCAGCCTTTCATTTTCTGAGCAGTATTCAGCTGACAGCCTCAACATGCCCCCCTTGTCCATGACTACTGTGCTCTCTCCCACCAGTCTCTGCCGGCCACGGGCAAAGTCCAGGGGAAAGAGGGGAGAACAAGACACACTGCAGCTCCGTGCAGCGAGCAGCCCCTCCGAGGCCCGCCTGATGGCACTGGGGCTGTTATCAGTGGAGCTGCTCTCCTCTGTAGACAGAGAATTATTCCTGGACATGCCAGATTTGTTCTTGGCCTTCAGTGCTCGGCAGAGCAACCCTTCCTGACTTCGTGCCTTGACCAAGGAGCAGGATCTGGGAGGCGATCTGCTGAGAAGCGGGGAGCTGAAAGGAGAGGAGTCGCTGGAGGAGGCAGTGTCGCTGTCGCAAGCACCCTGCCTGCGCAGGTGCCTGGGAGGCAGCCTTACCGACGTGAAGCTGATAGCGATGGGATTGGACGTGTTCCCTTTGCCACCGAATGTGTTAGCTCTGGATCGAGGCAGCGTCAGGCTGGGCAGAGCCCCACATGTGTCACCGTGGAAGATCGATTCCTTTCTCCTGGTGTGGGGACTCTCCAGCAAAGTGCAGAAGCCGTAGGAAGTGGGAGCTCTGGGGAAGTGAGGCAGGGAGAGCGCTGCTTGGGACTGCGGATCTGAGTTGGTGCCTTCTTCCTCAAGCACTGGGAACTCTTCAGCACTTTCCACCTGGATGAAGTGGGGCAAAGAAGAGCTGGAGCTGTGGTCAGCAGAACTGAGATGTGCATCCTCCGAACCGCGGTGCTGGCGGGAGCCAGCAGGAGCAGCGGTGCTCAGCCGGGGGGGGATGCAGAATTCCGGGATTCTGTCCGGGGTGAGCACGTTGGGAAAAGCAGCAGCCCCCAGGCGGGCTTTTTCCAGCAGATGTTGGCTGGGTGGCAGGCCCAAGAAGGAGGTGCACGGGAGGTTCCTGCTTCCCTGTGACGCTCTGATCTTGTCCAAGAACCACATCGTTGCACCCAGACGGGAGGTCCGCAAAGGGGAAGAGCCGAGAAGGCAAATCTACCTGCAGACACAGAAATGCAAAACTACATTAACGTGCTTCCCAGGCACGCTGCAACAAAGCAAAGCACTGAGGATGCTGAGAACGGCGGGACCGGCGCAAATGCAGTCCGCACGTCCAAAGCAGCCTCTGCTCGGCACGCTGCAGTCAGTGAAGTCTCATGGATTTTGCCGCAAGGACAAAATGAAGCCACCAAAGAGAGGCTCAACGACATCGAGTCGCTACCGGGAGCCCTCCCCGAGCGACCGCTCCCTGCTCCCCCCGAGCCGAGCCGAGCCGAGCGGAGCCCAAGCCCTACCTCGCCGGCTTCCAGCGGCACTCCACTCCGGTGTCTCCGCGGCTGCCGGTCCTTTTCTAGCGGCGCCGGGCGCCTCCCACAGGGAGGGAGGGACGGAGGCAGCGGGGGGGCTGCGGGGCCGGAACGCCCCGCCGTGCCTCCGCGCTCCGAGCCGAGCCTGGAGCGGCTCGGGATGGAGCGGTCGCAGAACGAGCACTTGGCGAAAAAGCTCTTCTCGGTTTGCGCCTCGCGCCGTCGCAGAGCAGCGCCCGGCTGGGGAGAGCTGACCCTGACCCACAGCTGCCCCTCGTCCTCCCCGTTTCCAGCTGCTTTTCATTCGCGGCCGCTTTCGAGATTATCTATCAAACGCAGTACAAAGGCAGAATTGTCTCAGTGCATCCTTTCTTCTTGAGAGCCTGGCTGTTTTCCAAACTAAGAGCAGTAGGAAGCGTGGAGCGCGGTTTTCCCACCTCATTTGAAAAAGACGTGGCTGCTTTTCTGCATCGGGGTGCGTGTCCCCTCTCCGGGCTATCCACAAAGAGCATGAGACAAATAAACCCCGAGGCAGCACCTGTCACTGATACAGAGCAACCAGAATGCGGGTGAAATAAGTAGAAAGGGGGCAAAGAAACGCTTTTGCAAGTCACCTTGACAAAGAGCATTTTAAAAATGCAGGCATGCATGTCCCTTATGTTCCATAGAGTCCCTTATGTCGCACAGGGCACGGTGGGATCTGTGAGCTTCCCAGCACAGCTCTGCAATGCAGCAGAACACAAACGGAGCTCTGCAGACTCTTTATGATTGTGCTAAAGGCTGCTAAGAGAAACCTTCACTCACACCTGTGAGAGGTTAGCTGAAGCTCAGCTGAAGCTGAATGCCTGTAACACAGTGACAGGAGCAATTTTGTCTTTCCTCTTCTCCCCGAAGAGCTAAAGTTCATGTTTACGTGGCTTGGAATAGACTGGATGTGCTCAGAGGAAACAGATCAAGTGGGTTGCAGGGGCAGGGAACATTTTGAACCTGCTGAAAGGTTCAGCTGGGAACACACGTGTCCAGAGGCTGAGCCCTGCCTCACTGCTGCTCATTTTACAAGCTTCACTTCCGTAATCATCCTCTAGGGGGTTAAATAAGACACGATCGAAATACCCAAAAGCGCTCTGCAAGCTAATACAGAGGGGTCTGGAGGGGGATCCTGCACCTTCCCCAGCACGTGGGAACACGCTCCTTTGGGCAGCAGAGCTGCATGGCACCCACTACAGTGGCATTGGGGTGGTGTAGCACCACATCCCATGCTGCATACCACAGAACTTCCACAGAGTAAGGGAGCTTCGTCCCATGCCTCTGCCTTTAATATCAGAGAAAGCTTGGCCTCTAAAAATGGAGAAGAGTGAAGAAATTGGAGCTTTCTAGAGGGAAGCTTGTTATTTCTAGTGACAATTCACGGAAGTTGCCCAGAGCTGGCCATCATGGCACAGTGTAATAAAGCAGCTAGCCTGCTTTAGAGCACCATTTCCATTATCCTTCATCTACACTTAGTAAAAAATATTGCTAGAGATTCCCCTCCCCAAATCCCCTCATCTGTCAGCCCCTCCCTCCGGTGACTGAGGACAAGCAGGTGCCTAATGGTGGGTGCTGTGAACCCCCTCCCAGCCACACTGTGGTTTACAGACATTTACAGACAGCTGTGCTGGCAGCTCAGTGGCCCTAGAGTACTCGTACATCCCCCTGGAAATAGGCACTCCAGCACACGATTAGCTGCTTAGCTTCCTGCCTTCAAAAGAATTGCTCTTTTCCTCTATTAGTTTCAGAGCGTAATTAGAAAGTAAGTAAGCTTCCTGTTGCTATAAAAACGCCTCTTCTAAACGGGAAAGGCTATAACACGTGGCTGAGGCTTTCCCAACCCCCCGTGTCCAACATCGGGTGGAACTTCACGACCTGTGCCGGACGAGCCGGGACAGCGGAGCCCCAGCCGTGCGACACGGGGCGACCGAGCCCAGCCGCTGTTCGGCAGCTCCGCACCGCTTTCGTTCCCGGAGCCGCGGGGCAGCGGCGGCCCCCTGGCGCCCCCTGTCGGCCGCGTGCTGCGGCTGCCGGGGCTGCGCCGGCCTCGAGTATGAAGGCTTCCCGGCCTCATCCACCGGAAGTTCTCCATTCAGGGTTTAGTTTACAAATGATTTCATTCTCCCTCAAACAAAGCAGTGCCCTGCTTATTTGTTAAAGAAACACGGGTAGCTCTACAAGCTGCCGAGCGTGGAGATAATATGCGTGTACACCCCACACCCAGCTACTGTAGACTATTTCTGTAATGGAAGGAGAGCATCCTTAGCTTGTACAACTGCACAGCCTGTCCAGTGCAGCTGTTTTGGTAGAAGACATCTCTGTGGAGTGTTTACAGTAATCCAGAGATGTGCTCCAGGTATTCCTCTGTCACAGAATGGCTTAGGCTGAAGGATACCTTAAAGCCCACCCACCCCCTGCTGTGGGTTAGCTGTGTCCCAGCAGGTCAGGTGGTTCTGAACACCTCCAGGGATGGGGGACCCACAGTTTCTCTGGGCAGCTGTGCCAGTGCTTCACCACCCTCTGAGTAAAGAACTTCTTCCTGACGTCTAACCTAGATGTCTCCTGTTTCAATTTAAAGCCATTCCCCCTTGTTGTATAACTAGCAGGCTGTGTCGATTGCCTTCCTGTTTGTAAGCTTTCTTCAAATACTGGAAGACTACAATAAGGTTTCCCCCAGTCTTCTCTTCTCCAAGCTAAACAAACCCAGCTCCCTCAACCTTTCGTAATAGGAGAGGTGCTCCAGCCCATTGGTCATTTATGGCAGTGATTGGCTCAAGGGACTGGAAGGAAACCCAAGGGAAAGCCTTTCACAGTGACAGTGGGTCCTGAGGTGCAGATGCACAGCACAGGAGCTCCCCACCCCAGCTCAGGGCACATCACCTCCCCTAGGGCTTGGCAGTCCCAACAGAGAGCCCAGCTCCCTGGAAGAAGCTCCGACTCCACCCTTCCTGCCTGGCACATCCAGCCAAGAGGAACAAGAGAAAAAGAAAACGTTTTTGGACTGTCAACTGTATAGGGAGTAATAGGGAACTTGCAAGGACAGCAGGGATGAGGTGGCAAAGACTTCCAACATTCAGTTGTAGTTTCCTGAGAAAACATCCTCAATAGACTGAGAGGCATTTGGACTTTTTTTTGTTAGATATCAATATCATAAGCAAATATTTAGCACATTGATTCATTCCTGTCATTTGGACAAAGGTCTCATAGCAGCCTGCTCACCACTTCCAGCCTAGATCAGTCATTTGTGTAGCGTGCTCAGGAATTGCAGAGGTCCAGCAAATCTAATCTGTAAACTTTCTTTCTTATGCTATTTCATATCATGTAGCAGCTGGTATTTTATCTCATCAGCAAAGGCCAATTCCTATGCAATTTTGTAAGTGCCCTTGCTCCTCTGAACATATGAATGAAAGAACAGAAGAATGAATGCTGCTTGGCAGCAAGAGCACATGAGTGACAGGGCCCTTCAGGCACACTTAGGCTTTAAGCAGAGTGTACAGAGTGCCTTGTGTCTCAGCAGTATGCATCGTCCTGACCCACCAGGTTGATCTGAAGAATTCTTTCTTTGTAGTGTATTATATGGTCCTGTGACAAGAAGCTTACGCTTGCCATACAAAAGCCAAAGAGATTATGCTGTCCTAATTCCACTGCCACTGAACTCAGCAAAAGCAGTCTGGTCTCAGTCTGAAGTACGGTACTACAGAGGCACCTAGCCACATGTTGCTTTAAATGCTTCTCCGTGTTTAAAATGGAGATATACCCAATCCCAGGCAGTATCTCCTTCATATCTATTTCAAACCTGAAAACATTTACAACATTTATATTATTTCCCCTTCCACACTCACACACTGTCCTTCTCCAAAGAGCACAGACCGGAAACAACCTTAAACAGAAGGAAGGAAAGGTTAGTTCTCTACTGCACCTCAAACATAGGCTGTTGAGCCTTCCTGGATGGCTGCAGCGTGTCCTGCAGGTACAGTACGTATAAAGCTTAAGTGCACTAGGTGACGTTGCTGTGTTGAAGTAACAACCTGCTAGTACAAACAACACTCATGAGAATGAATGAGGCAGCAAGCCAAGGCCATTTCAAAAAGGATGATTTACCTTGTCAGAACATGCCAGGTCTTAATTCAGAGTGTTAAACGTTTTAAAATAGATGTGTTGACAGACATCACTTCCCTCCCATGTCACAGGCTGCAAAGACGGGGGTGTTGGTGAATAAGCAGACTTTCTAGGCTCACCTACGATAACATTAACTGCAGCTGCCCGCAGGCCACACAGTGTTCTCTGAGAGCCTATGAATATGACAGCTCCAAGGAGCCAGGACTCCCCTGCTCAGCTGCAGACCATAACAGCAAGCATCAAGGAGCCACTGCCCATTTTGGGGGATAGGGAATTCTGCTGTCAGGTGGAAGGCTCCTAAGGTGTGCATGCAGGAGTGCGTGCCTGAAAAAACACCTCTAGGAGCACATGAGAATGTGATTCAGAGTCTGCTGCTGTTAAAGCTATTGTTGTTGCAGAATACTAATCGCATCAGTATTTTGTGCTCTTCAGCTATACAGCTAGAGTATTTCTCAGGGACAAACACCAAGTTAGACATGCTATTTAAAACTTGAGAGAAATGTTTTTTAAGTAGTTAAAAAAAACCCATAAATTTAAATGCAGAGCTGATTCCCTCCTCTCATCATCACATGGTGAACCCCTATTTACTTATATCAGCTGATCCCTAGACTCCTGAGTTTGATCAAAGGTTTGGCTTGGAGATATTCCTGCTTTGCAGTCAGGTAAGGCAGCCACTGCCAGTCCAGGCAGCTTCACTCAGACCTCACAAGTAAAACATTAAGAAGAAACTTGATGAATCAGAAGAGGATTCCCTTACAAGTATTAAAATTTGGTTGAACGTTTTGTGTATATGAAGAAAGTGGCACACTGATAGGACTGGCTTCAGCATCTTGGTGGATAGGAAAAAATCGTGTAAGTGCAATCCATTTCAGAGTTGTATCGCTAGTCAGCAGCACCTAATTAAAAAAAAAAAGGTTGCTTTTGGTGCAGTGCAAAGCTTTGCTTCAGATAACATTTGAAAATCGCCATCTACTCCTAGCTCTGACATTTGGTGCTAGCAAGAATCACTGCTGGTTTTCATCTATATCCTGCCCCCAGATCTGACTGGCCTCTCCCTCATGGAAAATGCCCAAGATAGAAAAATTATTCAAAGATTATACTTGGAGTTCTTTCCAAACTGATGGGAATCCAATGCAAGGAGGAATCAAAGTATTTCCTCAGACCTATAACATGTAGCCCTTCAGATGTAGACTATGCTCTTGCTTGCTAACTGTATTTTGCAGCAAATGGTTCATCACAGGAATACTCTTAATTCTAGAAAAGAAGGAGCAGAAAGGTGATACGTCCTTGCCAGGGAGTGCCTGATGACAAGCCCTCATTGTGCTGACAGTATCAGCTCCATCCAAGATCTGTATTGCTTTTGGTTTTCCTTTTCTGTATGGGCTACAGAACATCATCTATCAGCAAAGGTGAAGAGTAAACAACCATTTTAGCAAGGTGTGACCTGGCAGGAAAGAAAGAAAATTGTTCATGCAATAGATCTTAAAATCCAACATGACCAACTACAAACTTCTGAAATGTATTTTACCCTCTGATATGCCTGTGGAACTCCACAGCCTTTGGCACAGGAGTACGAAAACCAGCTGGCTTAAATTCTTCATCTGATCTGTGACCTGTCCCTCTGCAGTAGCTGTGTGCTGCAGCTTGAAGCTTTAGTCCAACACAATCTGTTGATATGTTACCAGAGCTCTGTTCTCCTTTGTCCCTGAGTATTTTTCTGTATAATCCTTTCCTTCCCTACCTCTCTACATGAGCAGTTAGACAGAGCCTGGACAAATATTAATTGTTGAAAATACAGCATAAACCAGGAAAAAACACAGATAGCAGAGTTCTGCTCTTCACAGTGTTAACATCCTTTTACAAAGTATTTTCTTTTTCTCCCCATAGCATCTAAACAAGGTTTCTGCCATCTGAGTGAACACGGCACTTGTACAAACTCAGAAGGCTTACAGTTGCTCCCAAAACAAATGTCTTTTTATTTTTTCCCAGTAGATCTGTTGTCTTAATGCTAAAATTCTCACTGGCAGATCCCCTGCTCTTTTGGAGACTGCATGTGGTGAGACCCTTACAACTCCACTCTCCAACCTTAGACTGTCCTCAGCATTTCACTGCACAGAAGGACACTTCTATTTTAGAAGCACCCAGGTGCATTCAGCAGCTGTACGGAAGTTTTCTGTCCACCAAGTTGTTGTGTTTCTGTGCAAGTATTTTTGAAATGCAAGTGTTCTGCATTTTTCACTTTCTATTTAAAAAACAGGCACTGCTAAGGCCTTGACCCTGTAAACCTTCATACAGATAATCCATGATTACCTCACTTATGCCAGAGCTCCTTATGCCCGCAAATTACTTGGAAAACACATGTCATTTTGAATATCAGTAGTAAGAAAAAAAGCAGTCTATTAGTGAAACAGCTACCAGAATTGATTTCAGGAGATGCTGTGAAGAGCCCTATAGACTTCTGGTGACTTTAGGAACAGGCTTGGGATCTTACAGAAGTGCTGCTTATAGCGCTAGGGAACAGAAAGGAAGAGAATAGTGACAGTTCTGTTATTGGAAAGAAGTTGTTTGTCACAAATTTCATTTAAAACAAAATTAGATGAAAAGTCATATGCTCTGGGATAAAGGAATTTTGCATACCACCTGCTTTCCTCCCAAATCCCGGTATTAAACATTTGCCATTAATGGTTTACAATCAGAAAAGTAGCAAACAGGGTTAAAAACGCATACAGAACAACACCAGTTCAAAACAGTGAACAGCAAAAGTGTGAGAAAAGCAAGGATTTTCTCTGACAAAATCACTTCCAAGTCAGAGAATCCATTGGCATGAGAAAACAAACAGCTTTACTACTGCTCCCAAACACAGAGTTTAAACATATGGCTACAAGATATTACTATATAAAGAAAAACAAATCAAAGTTATTGCAGTCATGCACACATTGCTATAGGGAAAAGCAGAAATAGGCTCGTGTGACTGTGTGAGATTCCCCAGCACTTTGGAGAAATTGTAACATGGTTAGGAGCTTCAGTTAAGAGGGGAGGATGAAACAAAACCCCTAGTTCTTCAGCTGCCTCAGCCTCTCTTATTCCCTTAAGCAAGCTCCAAGCTTGATCCCAGTCTGAGCCTCCCTCCCCGGCCCCTTGGGGCTGGCAGCCTCCCTGCTGGAGGCTGGGAGCAGCCGATGTGTTACACATGGCACTGTTGTGCTGGGAGCCTTCCCTCTCTACACCAAATGCTTAAAAGGAAACAAACTACAATCTGCTTGCCATGCGTGTTCCACTTGATGTCTTGCACTACCCAAAAGCATGGCAGAGTAAAATACTCGAGCTCTTGAAATGCATTTTTTGCTATCCATACAAGGAAATTAAAGGATAGTTTCCTCTGCTTCGTAGCGCTCACAGGCATCTCTTGTCACTTTTTCAGTCTGTCAGTAAAAAGAACACGCAGTGAAAGCTCTGAAAAATAGTTTCCCAGCACCAGTTTTATAAGGGCTGCACGGACAAGGTCATTGAGAAGAAAGATGAGATAGCAGGGAATACCATTTCCATCCTGTAGCGACGGGAAGCACAGCTCTTCCTTTGTGATCAGCAGCACCATCCTTGGAGCTGAGTGTGAAACCACACTGGTGATCGAGAAGGTTTTTGTTTTCCTCCCATCTGAGTAAGCGATGAAAGAGCCTTCCTGGGCTGTGGCTTTGTGCTCTCATCTATTCGTAGGTAGATGCTCAGGCATGGATATGTGTGTGTGAGTACAGGGATGGCAGGGCAGCCCCTCCTTGAAGTTTCTGGGACTGGAAAGACTTGGAAGCTGCTGATTCACTGCAAAAGAAGAAAAATCTCTGGACTTCAGGGCCAGCAGGTGTATAGGCACTGACAAGCATGGCTCTGGCTTCTGATATTTATAACATCAAGCTACGTAACAACGGCACTCTCACTCTGTATTGTTTGCTCTTATTTGCTATTTACTATGATCAAGAAGCACAACTGATCTTAAGTAATTAAAATATTATACTCACTGATTCGCTGCTCAACAATTCTCCTACAGTATCAAAGCAGTGGCATTCAACAGCAGATAAAGCAGCAGTCCAGGTAAAGTCAGGCCAGGGTAGCTTCAGCCCCACCATAGCTGGATAGCATTGCCCTGCAGAGGCCAGCCTTTTCAGGCAATCTGAAGTCATTAACAGCTGCCCCACTTCACCTGTCAACAATTCAGCCCCCTTGAGTTGTCAAATCCTCTTTAAAACAACCCACTTCAGCTCTTAGAATGTGATTAAAATCTTTTCTACTTTCTGTTTGACCAAAGGCCCTCAGAAATCAGATAGAAACCTGTCATTACAGGTCATTACAGGACACTGCTTAGGGCAGTGTTCTGAAGAAAAATTGCTAAATAAAATAGAGGTTTGTGGATGTCTTGTTAGCCATACTCCTGATACTCCCTTCCACTCACTTCTTAAAGCATTGCACTATTTAACAGGCTATAATTATGCAAGCCCTTCAAAGACTGTTTCAATGATCAATAATCCTACTGGGACTGTACAAGACCAAATTTCACCCAGTTTGAAAAGAATGGGAAACAAAGGAAAAAGAACACTCTTAGGCTTGTGCTATGATATGGAATACTTCGAATTTAAATATTTTTGAGAAGTATCTGCAGTGTGCTGCCCAGTGGAAGTGTGAAAAACCATTTTGTAAGTCAGTTTCAGTTAGCGGCACTTCGTCCTCCAGGCGAAGAAATACGTTATGGTTTATCTACATGATAAAGTATCATTAAAAGAAAGAATTAACGGAAGATTGCTATCAGTGAATGACTGACAATAAGATGAAAGATTGATTCGATCACAGGAAATGCAAACAAATTATACCTCTAGGGGCTCAGTGAAAAATGGGGCAGAAACTGACAGTTTATGTGATTAAAATAAATCACCATCAGCTCCTGGAGATGGAGCAGCTGGGAGTCAGCCCTCCCTCAGTTGTGCTGAGTTTACCTTTGTGTAATGCTTCACAACCTAAGTGAGAAGAGAATCACGTGCCAAATGCACTCTGTGCTCCGATCAGCCTTCACAACAGTGACTGCAGAGTGTCCATCAATAATATTCCTGTCCAGCTGGTCATTTTTCCCAGGGCACCGGAGCTTCATGGAAAACAATGCAGCAACATGAGGTTTCTTACCAGCTCCTGTACACATGAACTGCTGGAATTCTCTTGCTGATTTTATTGTGCATTTCTTTTCAATCACCATCTCACCGCCAATCTGTAACATCAAAAGCAGCAACAATTTTCTTTCTTCAGTGCTCCCAAAGTAGAGTGTCTTTTTCATTTTTACTATATTTTTTTCCAGTATCAGTCCTTTCACAGAGCACAATCCTCCTGCCACCCTTTTATCTCTCCACCTAGACTGATGGTGAAGCCATTTGTCACAGTGGTCCTCATTCACATTTCAATGCAACTGAAACAACACATTGACCAAAGAAGGCTAATCTAGTAGACTTAGAACACTTCATCTCATAAAACATGAAAAAATATTGCATAGCATTGCCTTTCCAATCTGTTCCATCTTTTCTCCTGCCTTAGGTTACATTGTACTCAAACTCCACTTTCTTCCTCTCCTAGAAAGTAAGTGCCTGTCAGGTTTCTGCCATCTCCAAATCCAGCTCTGCTTAACATATCAAATCCATTTTCTAAACTCATTCCTACAGATTGTGCAGACATTTGATGCAGAACAGGCAGCTCTGACAATACTTTCCCTGTGCTATGACCACTCTAAAGATCCCTCTAGTGTTACCAGCAACTCTACTGTTGACATTAGAGTTTCTTTGAAGACTATTTATACAGGGCAGATTTGCAGAGTAGGCCATTTTTGGATAAGGAATGCAGAGCTGGAAGGGATCTCCTAGGTCTCTGAACATGATTCCCTGCTATTGCAGACACCACATTATTCAATTCCCCATCATGAACTTACCCTGCATTGTGAAAAGTCAGGTTTCAGTGCTATTTCTCCCAGAGGAAAATCATTCCAGAATCCGATCACTGCAGATAAACTTCATGTTCTTTGGGTTTTCTCCTGTACAAGAGACTAGTCCTATCCTTTCCTGCAGTAGGAACACTCACTTGGTGTTTTATATTAAAGAGGGAATATTTATTGTATCTATGGGAAATGTATATTTCCCATAATAATACATGCCTCTTTCACAACCACTTGACTAACTGCTCATGGTGAGTCTGATTGACTTACACCTGAACCATTATCCCCAGTGACTGACATTTCATCGTGGAGGGTTTTGTTCTTTCTCCTAATTGCAAGACTACGCATTTTACAGCTCTGAATTTCCTCCTGTTTCTTTTACTTCATCCGTGTGGACAACAGTTCTCTCTTGTCTTAGAGGAACAAGAATTTCTCCATCTTTGTCAAAATCCTCCCCCACAGGATGTCTCAAGTGAAGGCTTTCTTTGTTTGAGGGAATAAGCAGAGTATTTTGGTAATCAGAAATCCAAACAAACAATACTTCCTGGACAGGGGCCAAGGGAAAGCTGCATAGAAATGTTCTACTCAGAGTTGAAATGGATTACCATCAGGACTGTTCAGATGAAAATATATGCTCATTTCACTGCTCCTTCTCAGTACAGGTGTGAGCAGGCACAGGTAGAAGATTCACTGTGTGCAATGTAATCTCCTTAAGCATACATATCACTGCTTTGCAATCTCTGGACTATGAGCTCCATGTCACTGTGATGGACAGTCCATCAGTCAGGTTTACCTGCACTGAAGCCTGCAGTGAACATGCAATTATGTCACCAGTATGCTCGGCAGCTATAGCCAGCTCCTCTAGATAGTGACTAGTCAAAAAACGAAAACAAAAACATTTCAAGCAAGGAAAAGAATGCATCTCACTGCTCCTAGCTACGCAGGTTACTCTCATCTATAAATGTGATAATTTCCTGGGGCAAAACTTCCAGTTTCTCATTCTCTTTGTTGTTTGGTAACCAAATAGCAGATGGCTGGACTACAATTAGGCATATATACATGGTACCACCTGCTAGGTACATTTTTTTGTTCACACTGGAACAGCTGTTATTCTCCAATTTTGCAAATTCAGAGTGAAGGAGAAGAGTAATTTTTTAATTTTTTGGGGGGCAGATGCTTTAATTCTCTGCAGGGTGTAATGGCACAAACTCAAAAAAAATTAAGATTATAGCTGATCAGAATGTTTTACAACAGCTTTGCAAGTCAAACAGTGGACATTTAATAAGTTAAGGAGTCCCACAACCAAACAACATTGAGCCTCCACCACGTATATCTTTTTTTTTTTCATAACAAATCTTCTTCTATGTTTAGTGACACAAATTCAGCTAAACTATTCAAAGTTTCCTAACACATTAATTGGGTATTCAGCAATAAAGTCACCAAGGCATCAAAAACCTCCCAGAAGATAAAATAGAAAGTTATCACTTCGTCTTTAATGCCTCATTTAAAAATGAGGGAGACAAAGAAATATATACAGTGCATCACTTGCATGTTTTCCAGCTCACTGATCCATAAATCAGTCCTTGGACCTATCAATAACACGGCATGATTTTCTCAGAGGCACTGATGCAGATAAACTTAATTCTAGCACGGTGTATCAGGCATGGTGGTGATGGGTCAACAGCTGGACTAGATCTTAGAGGTCTTTTCCAGCTTTAATAATTCTATTAAAAAGCACAGAGCTGATAGTTCTTACTGAAGTAATGCTCTTCCTCCTTGGGAAAACAGGGAATTTCCTGCTTGACCAACCTCATCTCCCGCTATGACTGAGTGACTCACCTGGTGGATGAGAAAGGCTGTGACCATAGTCTACCTGGGCTTTAGCAAAGCCCAGAGAGCAATGATGAATGGAGTTAAATCCAGCTGCAACCAGTTGCAAGTGGTGTTCCCCAGGGGCCAGTATTGGGGCCCATCTTCTTTAATACGTTTATTGACAGTCTGGACGAGTGCACTCCCAGTAAGTTTGCAGACAACACCAAGCTGGGGGGAAGTGTTCATCTACCTGAGGATAGGAAGGTCCTACAGTGGGATCTGGATAGGCTGGATCAATGGATTCTATGAATATGCAGGCTTACTTGAAAGATATGAGCTGGGCTACAGTAGCAGAATCTAGTTTACGCTGGTGTTAAAGATGTCACAAAAACTTGAGCTGATTACTGTTAACATGGTTCCCACTCACAGGTACAAACAAAACATGCCTTACTTTGCTGGAGTTGTTATTTTTAGTGATTGCTTTCCCCTCAAAGACTCTACATTTAAAAACCAAGTCCAAATGGTCAATCATCATCACAACTTCTTGAAGTGGCTGTACTTCAGTGCTGGGTAGAAGAAAACTCACCTCACTGAATTGCTGGGCAGGAGCAGTGTCCAAGCACGCAAGAAACATCTGCAAAATCTGACAGAGAGCCAGGAAAGGATTTAGAATTTAGACTGGTAGGCACTGTTGCCCTGTAGCCAAGCTCCCTGAGGCAGAATAAATTTCCCCACAAGACTATAAAGCTGTAACTCCCTCCACAGTCACTAATACCTAGATAATCTAATGCCTACTCTCTTTCTTTCCCCCATCCCCTCATCTAGTAGCTTTGCTTTTTCAAACCATTACCAGTTGGTAGTCCCTTTAGCCAGCACTCCCTGCCACTGAACACCTCCAGCCACAGATGCACCCTCAGAGCATTTCCACCCAGCAGAGCACCTTGTGACAAGCTGCATCTGTGCCACACTGCTGGGGCCTCCTCAGCACAGCGGGATGGAGTGGGCAGCACAGAGAGAGGGTTTGACCCTGGGTACAATTTCTGTTCTGCTTCAGAAGAGTTCCCACAGGTGTCCAACCTTTAGGCTTGCCTAAGCCACACTGAGTGAAGAGAAAGATTCTTGGGCCACATATAAAATATATAATATGGTTAACATATGCAAGTATTGAAACTTATATATTACAGCATTAAAAAAAAAGAGGGCAGCAAAAACATAGAACTAGCAGGTTGGACACATGGTTTAGGCCATGATGAGAGGTGCATGTGTTTATTGTCAAGGAGGCAAGATATAAAGCAGCTGTGTAGTGCCAAAGTTGCAGGTGCACTTAAGGATGTAGGCAGATGCATGATTGACTTCTAAGATGTGCCTTGCATTTGTAGCTCAGGTGCTCCTACACCCTGCTAGATATCTACCTGCATTCCCAGGAAGTTGCATGCTTTTGCCAGTTTAGCTCCTTATTAGCAGCTCAGCCATCTCTAAGGCCTACAGCAAAACATATTGATTTCAGCTGCATGCCATGCCCAAATAACCAGTTATCTCTAAACAGAGGCACACCTCAAACAACCTCCTGTAGCTTTGAGTTCCATTGGTTACAGAACCATCATTGCTTACTGAAGTGATACCACATCCTAACAAGTCAGTGCTATAGAAGTATGAAAAGCCACAAGGTTCCCAGCAGATACACCTTGGCTCCCTTGGTATGCCAACAGCACAACCTTTAGCATCTCATCGTTCAGCTCTTTGCTTGCACACATAGGCTCTGGTGACTTGGGAAGAGATTGAAAGCGGCTGTCTCTGTCAAAGCCTCTTGCTCTGCTGCTGTGCCATGTTCTGTCCAGAAGCAGAGGGAAGGGGTGATCAGATTTGCAAATGAGAAATGTGACAGTGTCATTTCCCACACATCTCCACCTTAACTTCTAGCCAACAAATTGTTTATTGACATGGACCATCAGAGAGATGAACAAAATTAAAAACCTTGTGGAGAATTTACAAGTTGTTCCATTGATCAGGGCTAGTACAATTTTTTTAATTCTCATTAATTTTAATGAAATGTAACATCCTGGAATCCCATTTCCCCTACTAAAACTAGTCCTACACATTCAGAGTTTCACTCAGAGAAACTTTTTCTTCAAACACCTGCAAAATCCTGAAGCATTGTAATTTTCACTTTTTTTTCCCCTAACAAAACGTATTTTTTCCTCCGTTCAGTTTGTTCTTGAAATTGGACATACAGCTTATTGGCTTTTTTACTTTTTACTTTTTTGGGGTAATTGAAAAGCAAGTCCCATTGAAGCCCTGATGTACAACCTGTTCCTTGGGATGGAGAATGAAGCAGTACATCATCTAAGATGGCCATATGAAAGCACACTGCCTACTTCACAGCAAAAAAAGAATAGCAATCCCTTGTTTAATGAGGCAGGCTCCTGAGTTGAGCCCTTGCTGCATGTTACTCAATTTTCTGGCACTCATTAAAACACTCAGACGAGGACTGTATGTATTCCATGCTTCCATAGAAGTGTTTTCTTACTTCAGAATCATTCTCCATTTTCCTGGTACTGCCTCAACGTCAGAGCACTAAGATCATGCAAAAAGGAACATTCTCCAATTCCACGTTGCTCCTACTAGTTCCCAAGAGCTTGCAGTTTCAGCTTTGGGGAGCTTTCATCTAAGGGAAAGCACAGCTGAAAGTCTGCTCCATTACTGCAGGAGTGAAACTCCCTGTTCCCTATGTCGTTTAGAAATATTTAACCACTTCATTTTTATGACCGTAAATGAATATGAAGTAAAATTCATGTAGAACCATTAGAGTAAATTAATTTTAGAATAAAATTAAATCAAGTAATTGAGGGCTACAAAACACTCCTGTGCAAGCTGCACTTCTGATTTGCATGGTAACTCTGGTTTGGCAATTATACTGTATTGAAATAATGCTGAAACCAATCCTGAGGCAGAATGGGTACCAGACAGTACTGTTAAATGTAACACTTGTCAGATTACTGCAGCTGCCTGATGACATAACAAGGTCCTGGCACGCCCAGCAGCACACAGCATCACATGGGTTGCAGTCCATGGCTCTCTAAAAATACGTGCACTAACAGCTAATTAATCCAACAAAGTAGCTATTGCTTCAGCACTGCACCATCCATTTTTAAGATTCATTAAGCTCTTCCCTGAAGAGAGAGCTGAAGTCTGTCAGGCAATAGGTCAGATATTATCATGCATTATGACTCTGGCTCAGAAATACCTTAAACTCCCTCTTAGCCAGAAAAACAGGGCTCTGCATCACCACTTTGTGATGTACTTTCTTGTTAGGAAGGCAAGGATACAAGGCTCACAAGCAAGCCATGGCAAGGCCTAACACCTCCCCCCCCCCAAAGAATTCAACATGATTTGTGCCATCAACTTCACTGGGTGTGGGATGCATCTGTAAATAATGGATTTTACAGATACTGAGCTCAGGTAGATAAGTCATGCTATTTCCAAAAACAAAGGCCTATCAGGTAAGAACTACATCAAGAAAATTACTCCTTACTTGTTGAAATGCTTTTTCCAACAAGGAAAAGGTTACCATTATATCAGCCTAGCTGACTTCACTTTTTTGTTACTGCCACCCTAGTAATTGGATTACAATACTATTTCAGACATTCAGTCTTTATTCTAGCTGCTGAATCTGGGCAATTGAAATTTGAATTGATAAAGAAAGAAGAAGGAAAGAAGGACATAATGTCTTATTCAAGTGATAGAAGAAATACAACCAAAAGAAATGAGGGGCAGGAAAAGGACATAAAAGTGCCAACTGAAAATCTGGGAGGGAATACATGTGAGCAAGTGGACCTCAGAGTTGTAACAGATCAATTCAGTACATATTTAATTACATGGATTAATTATCTGCAGACAATGAGCATGGAACACATCTAGCATTTGTGTCATTCTCCAAAGAGAAATAGTGATGAAAACTTTTCTTCTGCATGCCAGCGTTCGATCCAAATTCATCTATTTTTGGATTCTGTAGAGGGGGCTCCATCTAAGATTGTGCAAATAAACTTGGTTTGTGAACCTTTGTTGTATTTAAACAATAAAGAATCTGCAGACTAGACTCCTGCAGAGAAATCCAGATCTCTGGCCAGTCTGAGGCCACAAGAAATACCACACTTCTACACGAGGGAAGAAAGAAGTAGTTGGAATAAGTTTCCACTAGGGAAACTTATCCACTGGATTCAGCAACAATTGAAGATATTATTGAGGTTCTTTCTGGATAGAATTGTGGCAAAGTAAAAACAACTCTTAATGAGATAGTTCATCGATCATCTTTATCCTACCCCTCCTCCCATGAAAGAGAATTGGCTGCTCCCAGGTCCTTTCACAAAGCCTCACAACTTATGCAAGAGCTTTCTCTGCAACTTGGAAAGAATTCTCCTGTATTTCTCCATCTCACCTCTTTTTCTATCTTCAGACTTTATAACCATTCAGATTGCTGCTCTGCTGGCACAACCAGGTTTTCCCTCAGTTGTTCTACTAATATTTTGTGTTTCATTCCATGTAGTTCCAAATACTTCCAAGACTTGTGTGTCTGCCATAATAATGTAACCGTTCCACTTCAAGGGTTGGCTTTATTTTCTGTTTTAAAAGATCAGATTTGCATAAAACTGCTAGTGAATGATTTTACATACTTAATTTGGAAGACTCAGTAAATGCAAGTTGATGACCAGAGCTGGCTCCAGACATCTTATCAGCATAAAGTAAGTTTCCTGCCTGAGGATGAAGAATCTAGGTTACACTTGAAAATAGCTGCTTCTGTCACAGGCAAATGACTAGGATGAGAGGCCTGTGTACACCCTGTTTTCCAGAAGTAGCTGCTGTTTTATTCATTCTCATCCTCCCTCCTGGCAGCAGCAGCCACCAGCCTGGCTTCCAGAGCTCTGCCAACACCCATCTTGGCATCCCCATTGCTGCCTTCTTTGCCTGTGCCTAGACTAGCTCTGCCAAGCACCAGATTAACCACACTCAAAAATAAAAAATTCTAAACAACTCTGCCTATGCTTTCTACCTATAAATATCTGATGAGATGAAGTTATATTCGTAAGTCAAAAAGCCTGCAAGCTGGTAATAAGAAATTCTGTACATCTTTATATCCAGTATGTGCCAGGGTCCATCTCATCCGGATTTTAAATCTTTCATACAGAACACTATGTTCAAAAATCCTCCACCCAAGCTGCCAAGGTCAACACTATAACATTTCCAATAAATAGAGGAGGTAGGCATACATTTGCCTAGATTCTGATCAATTGTAGCAAAGAGTAGAAAAAATACAAACTACGAAGCTAGATATACACAACACAGGGTACAGAATGATACGTAAGGGCTAAAGTTTGTGCCGAGCACCAACTTTCCTGTTTGGGCACATGCCCCAGCAAAGCGTGAGCTCTTGTTTCAACGTTAAGGAAGGCTCACGATACTTTAAAGACCCCACAGCATACTTATGAGCATGAAGCATGGTAGCACTCCTCTGCACTTCCTTATGAGCTCAAGATGAAATAGGTAACAGCATTTCTATGTGATACATTCAAGCAATGAAAGCATTAGGGATTTAACCACACAGAACTTGCTCAGCTGACACTTCTGCTATCCTCTCATTCCTCTTCCTCTATATGAAGGTGGCAAGCACATGTACATTGCACCCATTCTGGAAGGAATGGGAGGCTGCTCTGAAACAGCAAAATTTGCCCCTGAAGGAATAAATGTGATCAAAGAAAAACAGACCATCAGAAGTTAATGCAATTGCAAAAAGAAATCCATGTATCTGTTTTCAGTCATTGGGAAAAGCATGTCAGGTCCAACTCTACAAAGCACTGGAAAGGAAGGGGTGGCTTGGCAGAAGTGATAAAGCTGATTACAGAGTAAGGGAGAACTGCCAAAAACACAAGTCCTGATTACAATTAGTAGATTTAATCGACTTCTCCGCCACAAGATATTTAAAATGAAGACTAGGAACATCCAGCCTTGTTCTAATGCACACAGTTGTGTCTGCGCACATTAAATGCCTCATGGCACCCCACTTCATTTGTATTACACAAAACATAGAAAAGGAGTAGAAACAGCCCCTCTAGGGACTAATAACTGGAGAATGGGCTTCATGTCTGGGACGGGGTTGGCAGCAAGGCTTCCTGAAGGGATACAAGGGACAAGTGTTTAAAACAGTGAGAATGGGAGAAGGATCAATGCCAGCTCTGCCTGTCCAGCAAGGGGTACAGGCATTTGAATGCAACCAGGCCCTGAATGTAACCAAAATGCCCTGAGAAGAACACAGAGGTGTCTTACAGCTAAGCATAGAATAAAGGGAGTCTCACAACTACCCTTCTGTTTCCTCCAGACCTGAGACTTGCCAGAAGAAGTATAGTTCTCATTAACAACTGCTTTTAAATTATTACTGATTTAATAGGTCAACAGGAGACCACAACAGTCAGGAAGTTTATTGGTGAAGTCACAGAAAAGGCAGCTTACTTTTGAAGAAGGAGCCCAAAAAAAGGGCATGTGAGAAACACAAGATGCACTGATCTATTTTTATAAAATTATTCCCATCTAAGTTGTGTTTTGTAATAATTATGTGCTGTCAGTGATTTCATATGAAGAGCGAATTTTTCATTTTATTGAGGGGAGTTCTAATATGCTATTCCTCTGAGTGCAAAGCTGATTATGTATGAATTTGATATTCAGAAATGATTAATTACTTGATTGCAAATGTTAATTTTAAAATCCTGGTTGAACATGCATCAACAAGAGCAGACATCTCAGGTTAGGAAGGGGCAGAAATAAGTACACTAGCACAAGTATCCATTCAGTGCATCAGCAGGAAGGAAAATAGCAGAAGATCAAAACACCAAATAAAATATTAAATACAGCTCATCCTGTTATGCTCAAAGAAGACACAGGTAGGGGTTACTTGCTCAGAACTGATAGGCAAGGACTCCACCTCCACATTTATCCATAGGATATGTTCTGCATATGTAACGTATAATTACAGTTTCCCACTTAGTGTCAAGAACAGCTCTTTTCTTTCCCAGGTGGTCTTTGTACGAGTTAATCTACTTTAGTTTTGTTTGTTTTTTTTTTAAGTAACACATTCTTCATCCATTTCAATAGAGCTGGATAAACATTTAAGACAAGTGTAGAAAAAAATCTACAAAGAACCTACCACCCTGCCCTCTTTATAGTAACTCCTTTGTCCCCCTAGGTCCCTGACAGTCTAGTTCTATGTAGCCACTTGGCCTCTGGAATGAAATTCCATCCATCAGTGTCTTAAAAAGCTCTTAAGATTACTCAAAGTACTGCACCAGCAGTGACTTCCCCTACCCTTCCACAGCCTCCCGCAACATGGAGTATTCCAGGCCAGCAGTACAGCAAGATACCATAAGCAAATACTCTAGCAAAATAACCAATATTTGTATATAGACAATGCATATCACTAAGAAAAAAAAAAAATAGAATACTATCTAGCCTTTTGTACCTCCTGCTTGAGGTCTCAGGGTTTGCCTTGCATAAATAAAAGCACAGGTGAGAAAGCAGATCTGGAGATCTAGATGCAAACAAGATTTCCTCGATATTTGGGTAGAGCTATTAAGGCCTGCAACCTGATATCACAGAAGTAAGCATTCAGCACAACTCCCTTCTTGTTGTGGAAAAGCCTCTATGAAATATACAAGCCCTTGCTCACAGCTCCATGCACATACCCCGTCCAGTCACACACACACACACAACAACTGAGGTATGAGGAATAGGAATAAAAACAGAGAATGGAGAAGGGACAGAGGAACAAACATAGGCAACAGCCCATCAGCCGAGATGCTGGAGGTCTTTCTGTGCTCTGCCCTGCACTTTACCCTAGAGGTGGCCATCCTTCAGCACAGCTCCATTTTCCCATGATTTCATTCCTTGGCTCTCCAGTGGAGCTCTGTAATTGCAGCAGTGCCAAGTGCCTGCAGAAGCTTAGGGCCATGCCATGGGAATCCCTGTGTGGCCATAAAGAAAAGAGTGTAACCGAATGGGAGCTGCAGGAAATAAAGCTTACCTAACACTTCAGTTCCACATAAACCCATAGTCATGCTAAGAGCAGTGTGTGGCCCCAAAGCCAGCATCCTGGGATGTTTTTCTGCTTGACTAAGAGGTCTGCAAATCAATATTCATTTTGAAGAGTGCTATGCTGTTTGTACACACAGAGTTTACCCTGTGGGTCCAGATGTTAGTGCTTTATTAAGCATAAAAATTATAGGAGATTTACAATAAAAAATACTGTGACTGCTGCCAATTTTTCTTTGGCAAACTTCCAGTAGGAAATATTCCTGTGTCAGCTGTGGCTCTCTCCTTTGGTATCACACAGACTCAGACAATGCATTTGTTGGATTCATTTAAGTATCTCCAAGAGCGTTCCATTGTTTTAAAGCATCAAAGAATTTTGCAGCTATAAATCATAACAAATAATCAGTAATCCCAAACAATGAAACCACATGAGAGAAATGAGGTGCAGATGTTGCCAGTCATTGAAGGAGATTGTAAAAGGGAAAGGAAACAGTTGTGTACATTATAGCGCTTGTTATGTGAGTGATTCATTTGAAGAAAGAGTGCTAACAACATCTCTCATTTTAAGGTGAAGATTTTTCCAAAGCACTGAATCACTACACTTAAAGAAATACGGCAAAAAACCCTCTCTATTACAGCAGCAAGCCTAATGCACTGTGACATCTGGAGAGCCGTGGAAGTAGCAGTCACTTCCCGAAAATACGTGGCATCACTCCAGTGCTTCACCAGCATCTGCAAAGTACAAGCAATTGAAAAAAACAGACACTAATTACTGCATGGTATGAATTTCAGACAAAGTAAGAAGTTCCATATAATTCTATTTTGAAGAAGTGCAAGACAGTACCTGATTTAGGTCTGTGGGGTACTCGAGCTGCTTGGAAGACTAAATCCTATTTGGAAGTTCATACAGTATTTCCTGATGTACTTCTCACAGCAAATGTTCTGTTCAACCTTTGTCTATGGGAAAGAAAAGCAAAGGGTTGAACTGTGGAAAAATAAGCATTTATGCAGCTGGTACCTTTAAAAACAACCACAGAGTGTGTATATTTATTCTCCAGAGTATCTGGAGCCCAAATATTGTTATTCACTGTTCACACTGAGAATTATCACTTAGATGCACATGAGTTTGCAGACAGCAATCACAGCACATGTTCTCCAACTTTTCCCACAACAGTTCTGAAAACCTGGAAGTGTTCAGCAGATCAGAGTGTAGTTCAGCCACAAACACTGATGATAAGGTATATTTGTCAGAAGCCATAGGGAGCTTACAAACAAAAGGCCCTCTGAGGGAGGGCATTGCAGAGCATACCACTGCTGTGGCATTTGTTTCTCTGATGATACAGATGCTGTGCATGAGGGCAGGCAGACTGCTGGGGCACCCATTTGTGACCCTTTCACTCTGAGTACTATGCAAGATGCAACTCAGAGGGGACTAGCTTTGCTCTCAGTCTCCTGACCTCACACATTGCCAAATCTGTGTCCCATTAACTTCATTGGGACTGACATATTCTGTGGGAACCAGAGCTGAATAACAATCCTATTCTTCATGCTTTTTGAGCTTCTGAAGCTGCTGTTCCCCTTAGATTAGGTACCAAAGTGCGTTCTTTATTTTCCGCAGTCTTCATCTTCAGTATTCCTTACTAAAAACATTAACTCTGTAAATGCATTCTCTAATTCACAAGTGGCTGAATTTTTTGTTTGTTTGTTTATTTGGTGCTTTTTTTGTTGTTTTGTTTTCCCCTAGATATAAGGACAAGTGAAAAGTAAAAAACATAAGAAGGGCCATCCCAGATTTTGAAAATGATACATGAAGCAGTAGCAGTACAAACAGGAGTACAGAGAATTTTCAGGAATACCTAAGACTTCTGCTGTAGTAAAGGCAGAATGAGATAATAGTTACAATAGCTATGAAGTTATCACTACAGTAACCATACAGCCAGAACCATGATTTAATTCTTTACTATGACAAAAGAAATACAGATAGAAGTCGACTAAATTAGCACTCCAGACCTGGACAAAATCCTCAAAGAAGCCTTCTACCATAGCTGGTAGAATACCAATACCAGCAGTATGAAGACATTAGCTAAAATCAGTAGGGCAGGAAATAATGCTACAAAGTCTCAAAAAAATGTATGCACCTTACAGTAGCAGGGTCCCAAAAGTTGTTTTTTTAGGCTTCTTTCAAGCTACCTTTTTAATAGCTGTACAATTAATTACTACCAGAGATGTTATAATGAACACTTCACATACCTTTGAAGGAATTTACGCAGTCACCTTCATGTGCTTTTAAGTGTTTTCTTCACAACAACACTTAAAAATAATCAGTGATACCTTCGTCTGCTGACACATACAAATGAGAGAATGGAAACCAAACTACTAAGGTACTATTTCTATTCATCTTTCACACTCCAGAGTAGCACTACAGAATTACCACTACAGAGTTCAGTAGCAAGCTCTTGAAAGAAATAACAGTCATTTTACTGCTAGCTAGGAGACAAATCCAAGCCAAAAACCAAACAATTAAACAATGTCAGTACAGCACCACACTCACCACAACAAGGCAGAAACAGAAAGTCCTGTAAGCTGGGTTCTACAGACATTACACCCCTGATGGTGAGCTTATTTGGAGCCCTGGTGCCGTGTGGGTGGAGGCCATGTGAGGCTGGTCAGAGCAACAATAGGCTGTCTGTGCAACCAGGGCTGTAACCTTACTGCTTACTGATGCTTAGTAGTGACAGTGCTGACTTTTGCCAACTCATTGCCAGTGAGTTGGACTCCATATAAATGCTGTTGTTTTTTAGCTATTCCTCGTTGGTTCCTCTTTCTAAGGCTTCTAATGCAGTTCTTGCTCTGGTCACATCTTAGCCCCAACATCTGCCAGCTGCTTGGTTGGTTAGCGCTGTTATTTATTTTTGCCCAGTCAGTTTATCCTGCAGGAATCATGCTTCCTGAGCCTTGTAAGTGATGTCATTTCCATGGAGGCGCTTGAAGTGTCTTGCTAAGTGGCAGAACACTCATCTTTAAAATGGAAGATTATTTTATCACTGTCAGTTTTCTCAATCTGCCACACCACAGTGGAAATGCATATGCTCATTGACATAGTAATACACACACACTCTAATTTACATGCTTGAGTATGATTTGTGCTGCATTTTAATGGACGTGTTCTGAGACAGAGATTTAAAATGTATCTGGGATGGCAGCTTAGGACATTGCTCACAGCACACAGCAGAGGAAGCCCTGCATGCACACCTAAGCTCTGCTGTGCCTGAAGCATCACTGAATTGCTGTCCTCCACAGGCTATTTTAAGTAGTAGAATCCTAAAATATTTTCATTAGAAGGATGAATGCAGGGCTCTGAACAAGCAAGACAGCACTTACAGATGGTTTATGTAGCCATTTCATTCCTCTGGGTTTGATGGCTGCTTAACATCTGCCTCCCAGGCTGGATGCATGTTCCTGGCCTTGCTGTCCCACCTCACACTGCTGGAGAACACCTCTGGCATCACCTGCCAGTCCCAGCCACATCCCAGGAGCACAGCAGACTGCTGCACTCTGGCTCTGACAAAGCACACTCACTGCAAAGGCTCTGGAATTTTGTAGCTAGGGAAATGGAATGGTGTTAGAATGTTTCAGTTTTAAAGTGTCATCTGAGTATGAGTAAAACCAAGAGATGTTCTATTCTAGGAAAAAAAGGCGAAAAAAAGGAAAGTAATTTTTCCACCCTGTTACAAACTGAAAAAATTGCCAGTCATGTAACTACGGCCAGATTCAGCCTCAGAGATTTCTGTGTCCTGCAGATACTCAAGTCTCATACTACAGCTGGCAGAAGGGCCTGACGGTTATAGCTTACATGTGCCTGTCAGTATATAACGGGTGGTGCCAAGGGGATGAGTGCTTGGGGCTCAGTAGCAGGGTAAGGGGCAGCAAGCACAAACTGGAACACGGGAAGTTCCATTTGAATGTGAGAAATGCTTTGCTTTTAGGGTTACAGAGCACTAGAACAGGCTGCCCAGAGGGGTCTGCTGCTCTGAAGATACTCCAAGCCCACCTGGGTGCTTTCCTATGTAACATGCTGTAGGGAACCTGCTTTGGGGTGGGGTGTGCTCATGGCTGTGTGATTCTGTGCTCCGGGAGCCCAGTAGGAGCTGGATAGAATCAAAAGGCCAAACGTTTAGCAGGGAATGCTGAAGAGGTGTTGGATGATACAAGAACCTGGCTGTGAGCGTGTCTGGGTTCATCTATACGGGTGCTGCTCTTTTCCAGAAGAAACGTGCCCACCTGCAAGTTTCAGTGAGCTGAAGTGATGTGAGGCAGGCACTGATCTGTCCGTGGGTTCTCTGGATTTGCTGCTGCTCTAGCATGGCTGTTTCTCACGGCTGAAATAACAAATACTGGTTCCTGGAAGGGCCAGTTGGTAGACCTCTGTTATTGTTACAACATCGTTATTGATGAGTATTGGTGAGTATTATGATGTTCTCACGAATTGTTACGGCACTGTGCAATGTAAGCAGAACAAAGCTGCTCAGCTCGTGCCCCCGAGCAGCTCAGTTTCTTCCGAAGGCCCAACAGCTGCCGGCTGGCTCCTTGCTTTGGTTGCAGGGCTCCAGCTGCACTGCATTCCGTTACTCGGGTGCGTGATTTTGAACGACAGCTGTGCTGACAGAGCCTCATCTGCACGGAGGTATTTCACATCAGGGACTCAATTTGCAAAGCCATCCCGTTTCTCCCGTCAGTGCAGGTGTCTTGGCATGGCAACCACCGGCACAGCAGCGGAGACGCGCTGAGGGACCGGGGCGGTGCGCGCGGGGCCACGCGCGGCTGCACGGAGCCGCGGGCGGGAGGCGCCTCGCGGCCCCTGAGGGGAGCGGCGGAGGCGCGCGGTTCGGCCGCCTCCCCGGGCCCGGTTCGGTCCTCGCCGCTCGTTTTTTGTTTTTCTTTCCCTCCCGGCCCTTCTCGCTCTCCTTCAGCAGCTGCCGCCCGCCCCCCGTAACCGCGGATCCGGACGGGCGCGCGCGAGAGGCGCCTCCGCATCTCCTCAGCGAGGGCCGCGCTCAGCCCGCCGCCTCACGCCCAGGTAGGGGCTGCGCCCCGCGCGCTCGGCGGAGGGAACGGCCGCGTTCCGCGGGGGCGAGAGGGCGAGCCGCCGGGCTGCCCGCGCCGAGAGCCGGGCGGAGGGCGTTGGAGCGGTCCCGGAGTGATGACGCGCTTCCTGTCCTCCCGGCGGGGGTCTGCGCTGGAGTCCGCAGCGGCGGCGGCTGCGGAGCCGGCGGGAGCGGGGGGAAGGAGGGGAGGAAGGAAGGAGGGGAGGACGGAGACGAGCGGCGGCGGGGCGAGGCGAGGCGATGCTGCAGTAACGCCCTTGTCGGTAGGAGCCCCGTCGGACCCCCGTCCTGACCGCTGCGCGGAGCGTCGGTCCGCGCCGCGCCGCGGAGAGCGGGGGGTTGGGGCTCCGCGCCGCGCCGCCCCCAGCGTGCGGAGCTCGGCCGCTCCCGGCTCCGCGCCTCGGCGCTGCGGTGCCGGCGGGAGCCCCGCGGAACGCCGCCCGCACAACAAGTTGGAGCGCCGCCGGGAGAGCCGAGCCCCGGGAGGGAGCGAGCGGCTCCGCCTCGCCTTCCCCTGCCGCGAGCGGGACGGGGCGCGAGGGAAACCCCGGCTCCTTCGGGATCCTCCCCGCCGCGGGAGGCGCGGCTCCCCCATAGCGGGCGTGCGGGTGGGCGCGCGGAGCCGTCCGCGTCCGTGCGCCGCGATGGAGGAAAATCCCCGCGGCGCGGTGCGAAGCGGCGACCTCCCAAGGACGGCCGTACCTCGCTGTACGCGCCCGCGTCCGTCGCGGTGCGGCCGCGCGTGTGTGTACGTGCCCCTTCCCGCAGCACGGGGCGCGGAGGCGGGGCGGGGGCCGCGGGGGTTCGGCTCGGCCCGGCCTGGCCCGGCTCGGCTCGGGGTGCTGACCACCAGCGCTCTGCTCCGGCGTTCTGTGCGCTGCCCGCCTCGTGGCCGCGCTCCTGCGTGCCCGGGGGGTCGCTGCCCCACCCCCAGCTGCCCCCCGTACACCCCCGTAGCCCTTCTATTCGCTTGGTTTGCTCCACGTGGTTTGCTGTGTGTTAAAACCCTGCCGCTGCATAGTGTGTATCTGAGAAGATAATAGGAACGTTCATTCAAAAACTCCAACTTGTTTAAAAGCTTATGTTACAGAGCCGTGTCTTAGAGCCAACTCCGAGCCTGTTAAGTTTCAAGCCGGCTCAAAGTTTGAAAGCACGGCGCGGTGCTTCAGGGCATCGGGAGGTCTGTGTGGTTGAGACAGCCCATTAGCTATGGAAAATGTCCGTGTGATTAAATACAAACGCACAACAGGTCTATCAGATTGCCCTTGCTTAAGTAAAACGACGTTTCTTTTCAGTTGTATGGCCATGTGTATGTTCTAAGTACGAGTGAAAGCTTCAGTGTTAGGTAGGAATGGCAGGATGTGGAAAGCTTTGAGGTAGTGGTCAGAGGCTCTGCAATCAGTGCAGCTGTTAGCTAGTTTAGCAGTGAATGAAGCTGTCCAAACTACTTCCCCTCTAGCCTTCAAAGTATGAAATCTTTGAGACAGTGCCTTGAGATTGAAGGTTACCACAGAGCTTGGAAAAGGCTTCTTTCCTCTGGGAAGTGCATTTCACGTGAACTTCACGACAGCTCCTTTAACTGCTGACTGCTGAAGGGCTGAATTTTTCTCCCAACTTATCTGTTGGTGGCAAAATCACTGAGCCAAAGTAAGATAAAAGTATTTGTTTCTGGTTGTCAGTCGGAGTCTCTGGGTTACTGTGACAAACTTGGTCAGTATTTAAGTTCTGAATCTTTGTGTAAAACTTGATAAAGAATATGGCAATTTTTAATGGGATACCCATACGTTTTTATCATCCAAATAGTGGCACTTTCCCTGGAATACTTCTGCATAATTGTCCTGTGTGTTCGGAGAGTAACATCTGTTGCGTGATATCATGTAATGGAATGTGGTACGGCTTAATTTAAGTTGATTTGAAATGTTGCCATTGGACTGTAGTAGTGCCTCAGAGGGTGAGAGGTTTTTTGGTGTGTGCGATGGACACATAGTTGCTTAGGGGTAGAAGATACTGGGAAAGATGAATTTGCCTTTGGACTGCAAAGAATTAAGTACTTTAACTCTGAGCTTGGTTTGCTATGCAGTTTTACTTAGACTTCTTTCATCATATGCCAACACATTTAATCACCAAATTCTGCTTAGATTAGAAAAGCCATTTGTAGTTAAAAATATAACTGAATAGTATAAAACAGCGCTGCAGTCTATTTGATTCTTTTTTTATTTTTATCTTTATTCTTGGAGAGAGAGATGTGGGCTGTGGCATCCCGAGATCTGTGCAGTCTTCCTGATGGCTTAGTTTTTGCTGTGAAAACTTTTTTTTGTTTGATATGGTTTCTGCAAAAAGTCAACTCAGCATAGCAAGGATGATCTGAAGCATTAATGTTTGGACTGTGTTAATCTATATGCTTACCTATCCAATATATATATATCTATAAAATCTGTGCAAATGCAAGATCTGGGCAGCTTCCAAAAACGCTAGTTCTTAATTAGTCATCACAGCTCAACAGTAGTACAGGCAGCCACCTCCATCCCTTATTGTGGCATTTCAGTGTCAGATAGCTGCTGTGATAGCAGTATTGTACGTTTGTGATAAAGTGCAGGCAGCACCATTTGCTGCAGCATAGTGTGGAAACACAGAATATCCTGAGTTGGAAAGGACCCACAGTGAAGCATCGTTCCAATCTGTTGTGTTAGCATTAAGGTACCAAAGCCACTGCTGGGAGCAGTTCTCAGCTCCTTGTCTCTCCAAGCCTTGGAGTTTTGAAATTGCCAGCTGTGTAGATGTCCTGATGTGTTTAAATAAAGGCCATTTCTTGTGAAGAAGTTCTTATCCAGATGCTGCATGTGCACTGGAATATAATTAGCAAAGGGAGGGATGTGTGAGAGCTCTGTATTCAGCTTTCAAAAGTTCTTTTTTTTCCTCTGCTCATGAGTCCTGTCAAGATTTGGCAAGTCTGTTTATACATGTTTCTGCAGACAATAGAGTGCTGATGCAAATTGAGAACAGCAAACAGAACAGTTGTGTGTTGTTGGAAATGGAGGGGGGCGGTTCCAGTGTGCAGTGTTTTGCACGTTAGGTTTTATTTCTGAGTTACAGTATGTCAATTGGAACAAATGTTACTGCTGTATGGCTGGACGTGGCTTCAGATAGCCCTGTCTGTTTGTTCTTGAAGGGGAATGCAGGGGTTTGCTTCTGGAATTTTCTTTTTGACCACACACAGTGATAAGAATGTGAAGTAAATTGAAGAACTCTAAGTGGCAGGAAAATGTAAATGAGAGAGAAGAGGGTTTGGGGGGGGGGGAGAGGAGGGGTTGTTTTTTGGGCTAACCCGGCTCCTGAGTACAAAGCTATGCAAAGCATAATGGTCTCAGCCATTGCAACTCTATGCACGAGGTTGTTATGGGTATGAACATCACGTTGCTTTTAAGCTTTTTTTATTGCTGCCATTTAATAATGTACTCCTTCCTCAGGAAAAAAATAAGAATTGGGGAAAGAAAAAAAAGGGAAAAATGTGGGTATGTTGAAAGGAACCCAAGCCACTGGCAGCCCATGACCTGCAAGGCCCAGGCCTGCCCACATGGTGCTGCAGTCCTGGGTCTGATCAAGGGTTAGAGAATTGTGTCCTTCCATCTCTGAGTGTAATAAGCAGATGCCTTTTGAGTGAGGCTTGGGGATGAGGTGGTGGCCATGAGCCTGTGGTTACATTTGGTGCCAAACTTGTTGCTGTGAACACTGAACGTTCTAGATTGCTGTCCTGCTAATGCTGCTGAAAACCCATTTTATGGCTGTGTCTGAGCCGTTTCCCCGGCTGTGCTGTGTGCACACATGCTTATCTTGGAATTGAGTTTGAATTAGCTTGCATACTTGAAGCAATTGTGATAACATTTTGATATTTTCCACTTCCAGCTGCAAGCTGGGATTCCATCCCCAGAGATCCACCCCCTCGATTCTCAAAGCTCCAGTGCTTCTTCTTTTGTTTGTTTTAGGCCAGAAAACACACTGACTGACTTTACAGGGTGAGGGTGATCATACAATAATATGGTACCTTAAAATATCTGTACAGTACTATGATGTTGGCTTCTTACTTGGAGTCCCTTTTCTTGGCAGCAACCAGTTGAATTTCTGCCAGGGTGGGTCAGCCTGGCACTTGGAACTGCCTCGCTGGCGTTCTCA